TCTTTCCTACAGTTGACTTTCTTGTGGTTTTTTTTATGCTGACTCACACACAATATCTAACAAACAGGATCTAACATTTTCACAGATAAAAAACACAAAAATATAGTTGGCCTTTATATTTACAGGTCACCCGAACCATTTTACTGTGCGATTTTCTTTTTTTTTTATCTAGAAATGACTAATATCCACAAGAAAATACTAAGTTCTCTACCGTATAGCAGTGACATTACTCGGCGTGAAGAGTCAAACCGATACTGTCAGTAAGCCAGTCCAAGCAGCCTGTTTTCTCCACATGAGTCACCAGAGCTCATTTAGACACTGAAAAACATTGCACACACTTTCAAAAACTGACATCACAAACCATCATGTTAACCCAAAACTGATCCCTCCATGAGAGCACTTTCACAGCTTGTGCGTGGAGACACATAACAATCACAGAGCTGTGACTATTTCAGATTTCTGACCTCACTGAACAAGCTATAGATCACACAACTTACATATCCAGAGCAAGAGCAAGACCAGTCACAAGTGAGTCATGCCATATTAATATAACAGGTAAATATGGTGTAACTGTCAGATCTCCTGCTGGCGAGGACAAACAGAATACTGAATGCAGTGGTTGTGCTTATAAAGCACTGCTGCTTTTAAAGAAGCTGTCTCTGGCAAGGCAATGCATTGTTTCCCACAAAGTGTTGTGCAGCTCACAGCTGAAGCAAGCACAATCCTAACAACTTTTTAGTCTCACAATGGTTAATTAACACCTTGACAGAGCTGCGTGCTCCTCTCTCCAAGAACAAAGGCATTGCTACTGTCGCCTCTCTGTCCTGCCACATTCAGCAAACAGCACCTAGATACTGTCTAACAGTGAGGCTGAGAGGCACAAGTTGGAACACTGGCAAGCAGGTGTGCGCATTTGTGCATGTGGCACTTAGATGTCTGTTGCCATGGTGACCCCCAGAATATCCCCACACTGCACAATGTGATATTTTAATAAAGTTGGAGGGCTTTGACTTTACTGTCTGGTGCAGCTGTGAAGATATGGAGTGAAGATGTAAACTTTGTGGCTGAGGCTTAGCTGTGTAATTCACCTGAGAAAATCCGGCAGCTTATGTCAGCGTGCCTGCTGTGTACTGCTCAAGCAAAGTTTGACATGAATGCAGTGGGAATACTAAATATAGTGGACATGAACCGTGTGTGTGTAGATGTGAATACATGGTTCTGTGACTTTGTCTTTTTGTGTGTGTGCATGCATATGTGCATGCGCAAATGTGTATATTTACCACAGTATGACTCACAAGCCACATCAGACACTGTGCTGCAGAAAACGGAGACAACACACTTTCAAAGAGGAAGCCAGCACTGACAGAGCTGAAAGAGCAACAGGCACAACACACACACACACACACACATACATGCATACACACACGAGCGCATGATTGTAATAACACTGTGGAACAGTTCACACATACATGCATACACACACGAGCACATGATTGTAATAACACTGTGGAACAGTCAGTGGAAATCCCCTTTTGTTCACCTGAATGAATTACACCTGGGAGAATCTGAAACCTGAGATGCAAATTTGAAATGTGATCACAATTGTGTTTAATTTCACAAACATTTAATCAAAACCAACTGAAAGGTTTGCTGTTGGCCAAGACAACAACAAATCTTTAAAGAAAAATGAATGTGTTTCCTTATATAACAATTCTTGCTTATGGCATTTCACTTAGGGGCAGGTGAAGTCCTTCCTGTGTTGCAAAAACACCAGCATGACATTTCTGAAGCAGTCACTGTGCTTGTATTGCTAATGGCATACAGTAAGTGCTTCCTAGGTGTGAGCTAAAATGCAATACACAAACCTCACCAGCAGATGCCAGAATTGACTCACCAATGAGGTTAACATAAGAAACAGCTGTGAGTTACTGTAAGAAACTCTACAGAGGGCAAGTTGTTGATAGGTGCGATGACAGAGAACATTTTTTAACACATCTTTGAGAAATGTCAACAGTCAGATGTTGTCACACCTCAGTGTTGGGCTACAAACAGCACAGCTGACTTGCTGTGCTTCCAGTTTTAAACACAGGTATGATACCTGATGCAAATCAGACACCTAAAAAGATTGCCTGTGAAAATTTGATGCTAAAATAAATATATGTGTCTCAGAGTTCATAGGTGAATCACAGAGTCACAGCGAAGCAGGACAGGCCATAAATCATATCTTACTATTTTCCTCTAGCTCCTTACATAGTGTGTAATGACTTTCCCATGGCATTAGTGTTAGATTGGAGGGCTGAAGTGTGATGTAACTGGCTATTAGAAGCCTCTTATTAGGGAAGGAGGAGTCAGGACCTGCAAGAGTCCATGCATCCAAGATGCTAAGTGCTTATTAACAACCCATATGTGGCAGTTACAGTGGTTGTTTGCACCTGGATGTGTATCTGTGGGAGGATGTGTGTTTTTAACAATGTGTTTGTGCGTGTGGTTAAGTACACATTAGGACATGAATATGTATGTTGTTCACACTTGCATTAAGAAACCTCTTTAAAACAGGCTGCAAAAAGAATCTGATTTGATTTATAAACAGCAAAGAATTGATGTAATTCTCTTCATGAACTGAATTGAATTAAAAACACTGCAAAGGATTATGGGTTGAAAACATCAAGGCCAGAGGTTGCCTTTTATGCATAATTAATGGATTACTTCAATAAAGACCATTAATAAAGGGCAGTGGGCGTCTCACCTTTTAATTAACAGTCAAGTCTTCACATATAAATGTTAATAAGCTGTAGCGATGCTTTACTTTTTCCAGAGGGTTAGCCATCACACTATCCTCATACTAAATATAAGTGTTAACCATAAAGTCAAAGCAAGGCTGGAGGAGAAGTTACACCAGCCAAGTGGATTTTCCACAACCTGGGGTCTCAAATGACAATAATGGATTAGAGTTCATCTATAAAGAATTGATAAATTATTTGCAAACAGTTACCAGGGAACCCAATTTACACATTAATTGCTTTACTCGGAATGGAAAATACTCCTAAGCTTGTGAAAGGAGTTGCATAATGTTTTCCATGGCTCTAGAAGATTTTTGGCAAGTCTGAGAAAATAATCTCTGACGACGTGATTGGAATTATCTCAATCAGGGCTTTAAAAGCATTAATGACTGCAAGCATAGAGTTGGAAAAACAGTATGTGGGCTTTTTCTAGGCAGGGATGGTGCACTTCTTATGGTGTACCCTATTTTATTCAGGCTTGGGACCAGTATGACAAGTGCACTGGTTTGTGTAACCCCAGCGGCTGGATGCAGCTGCAGGACCTGCTGTTCCCAGGTCGCCCCCCCCATTTGAGTACAAATCAGCATTGGCCCTGCTTCTGAGACTGGGCACAACCATGGCAGCATCGCTAAAGACAAAATTGTGTTAAATTATGAGAAGTGAAGGATCTTATCATGACTAATGTGTCACTACATGGATGACACATTAGTCATGATAAGATCCTTCACTAATGTGTCACTACATGGATGACAATGTCAGTCAGTTAAATTTCAGAATTGAAATGAGTGTTTATTTGGAACAAAGAACAAAACTGAGGTTTCACATCAAATAATGTGCTACTGTATTGTTTTCAATGTAATACAGGACACAGATGATTTACAAATCATTATTATTCAGTTTTAATTTAGATTTTACATACCGTCCCAACTTTTTCTGATTTGGGTTTTTATTAAACGGACTAAAATAAAAAATGATTGCTTGACTTTGCCTCTAACATCACCATGAGATTCTGGTTTTCATTAAAAGATTTTGATAGATGAACTAACTAACATTTAAATTTGCTCAATACTTTGATTTATGAACAAATATTTACAAAACATTTTCATCAGCCCCCACTGTACTTTGTGTTTTATGCAAATCAGTGAATCCTTAGAATCTTAACAATCTAAACTAAGATGACAAACATGGTAAACACTATACCTGCACTAACATGTAAGCGTTGTCACTGTGCTGACAGCGTGTAGCGGGCTCACAGAGCTGCTAGCACGGCTGTGCTTTCTCTCTGGAGCTCCCAACTTAATGGAAGTGCTAAATGCTTACAATAATCTTTTAAGACCATTAGTTAAACCAAATTAAGGCACCATGAAATATATTTTATTAGACAAAGGTGCTTTTAATGACAAACTTAAAACTCAATAAAAGAGTGCACTAACATAGCCCATCAATTAAAAGAGTAAAATGGCATGATGTAAAAAAACTACATCACACAACTCAATTTTATTACATATAACATAGAGCAAGGTGATAGTCAGTCATATAAACTGTTGATTTTGTTTTCCTGTTATGCTAAGAGAGACTGTAGTTAATATTCGTGACCTCTCCCTTTATCATAGTTCACTTCTAAAACTTTCATCCTACATAAAACTGAATAAATACATACATAATATAAAGCAAACATGGGAGGGGTTTAGTTCTGGTATGTTCCTCAGTATTATGTAAAAGGCCTATCCACCTCCTGATCCTGCTGACCCCCTTGCTGTCACCAGTTGGTACAGGCCACAGTGCCGTAGCCCACTATTACTCTCCCCCATCCCTAGGCTGCACAGCTCTCTACAACCCTACAGAGCCTGTCTGACAGAGTGAGCCAGACAGCGTGTGTGTGTGTGTGTGCATGTATGCGTGCATGTGTGTGACAGATACAGACACTGAGAGGCAAGTGAGATGAGAGTGTGAAGCAGTGAGAGGGAAACCTAGAAAGAACAGCAAAGGCAATCAGAAAAGGGGGAGGGAGTCAGCGAACACAGCAAAAAGACAGAGCAGAGTAGATGAAAGAGAGGAGAAGAGGGGAGGGAGATAAGAGGGTACTGTGAATGTACTATCTTTGTGCCAAAGTCAAGAGATGCAATGACTAGATGACCGGCCGCTACACACACCAGCATCCTGTCCTGGAGCCTTGACAGGAGGGGGGCAAGAAAAATCCAAACACACACAAAGCCAAACACCACTGGATCATGTCATCCGCTGGGTCAACCAACCACAACACGCGTCTGGCATGTAAGTAACCAACAGTGTATGAGTTAATGTAAATGTAGCGAGAAGAGAAAGCAGTACTAAGGAGAAGTGCAGTAACAGTAAACTTTGAGTCCTGTTGAAGAAAATGTTCAGCATTGTTCTTGTAAATCAACACCACATTGTCTTTCAGTGAGCTATAAACTCATTTCTCCTCGGATTTTAATGGAATAACCTGACATGTCCTGGGAAGTTTTCCAAGGCACATCTTAATATACAATTGAACAGGATGAATTAATTCTCTACTTACTAGTTGAGCTCAACATGATTCATAATCATCATTCTGAGCCTCATAACAAAACAGTTTGCTCCTTCATGAGACACATGAGACGTACAGTACATATAGTACAGTAGGTCCTTGTGTCCCTGAAAGATTAATTAAATTATTACTCATTGAAAAACTCAAAATTACACACAGTCGGTTTATTTTTTTAACTTCCGGATCCAGCTTTGAACTAACCCTCATTACCCTCAAATCTAATTGTCCAAACTAATAACAGCCATCTCTTTTTAACCAAATTAGCCTGACAAACTTGATGGTGGCACGACACTGCTGATGCAGGTTTAATCACAGTGATGGGATAACAACTAGTCTGACTAAGCTAAAGGAAGAAAGTCTTTACATAGAAGCAGGGAAGACATTCTAACTGCCACCTGCTTGCAATAGAAACATTGTTTTGTTTTTTTAATTTAACCAATGTCCTCAGAAGAGTAGTTTGCTGTGTTAAGTGTCATGTGAACATGTGAGAATTTGTTATTTTCCCGTGCTTTCTGCGTTATGTACAAGTTTCTGTGTGTATGAGTATTAGAGGCAAAGCACTACATACCATATGAGCTCTGTGAAGATTACTGTTTTGATTGGTCTAAATATGGAGTAGTGGGCATGGCTGTGGGTCATCATTGCATTTACCCCGGAGTGAAGCACCTTTAATGGCTTTGGGAATGGGAGTAGACAATCTGATCAGACACTTACAGAGTGGGTGGTCAGACAAGATATAATCACAGCACTGGGATCACAGGAACCTGAGGAAACAGATGTAGGCTCTAAGATAAAGAGGGGTGGGTGAAGATAAATAATGTGCTTGTGTTAAATATTTATTCATCTAGGATTCAGGTTGTGCTACCTGTGTGACAATGATGATGGTAGGTGCTGTGGTAAACCAGTCTGGATTTACTTTCTACTATACAGCTGTGTGTTTAGCAATGTGTGGGTCTGGGCAGTCAGGGGAGTGGGGAAACACAGTGGGGGGGAGGTACAGCACTTGTGGTGCAGGTGTCACTGAAAGATTAATGAAATTATTACTCATTGAAAACCTCAAAATTACACACAGTCGGTTTATTTTTTTAACTTCCGGGTCCAGCTTTGAACTAACCCTCATTACCCTCAAATCTAATTGTCCAAACTAATAACAGCCATCTCTTTTTAACCAAATTAGCCTGACAAACTTGATGGTGGCGCGACACTGCTGATGCAGGTTTAATCACAGTGATGGGATAACAACTAGTCTGACTAAGCTAAAGGAAGAAAGTCTTTACATAGAAGCAGGGAAGACATTCTAACTGCCACCTGCTTGCAATAGAAACATTGTTTTGTTTTTTTAATTTAACCAATGTCCTCAGAAGAGTAGTTTGCTGTGTTAAGTGTCATGTGAACATGTGAGAATTTGTTATTTTCCCGTGCTTTCTGCGTTATGTACAAGTTTCTGTGTGTATGAGTATTAGAGGCAAAGCACTACATACCATATGAGCTCTGTGAAGATTACTGTTTTGATTGGTCTAAATATGGAGTAGTGGGCATGGCTGTGGGTCATCATTGCATTTACCCCGGAGTGAAGCACCTTTAATGGCTTTGGGAATGGGAGTAGACAATCTGATCAGACACTTACAGAGTGGGTGGTCAGACAAGATATAATCACAGCACTGGGATCACAGGAACCTGAGGAAACAGATGTAGGCTCTAAGATAAAGAGGGGTGGGTGAAGATAAATAATGTGCTTGTGTTAAATATTTATTCATCTAGGATTCAGGTTGTGCTACCTGTGTGACAATGATGATGGTAGGTGCTGTGGTAAACCAGTCTGGATTTACTTTCTACTATACAGCTGTGTGTTTAGCAATGTGTGGGTCTGGGCAGTCAGGGGAGTGGGGAAACACAGTGGGGGGGAGGTACAGCACTTGTGGTGCAGTGATCTCACTCATAAATGATTTATACTTGATGGACTGTTGTGGCAATGAGACCAGCAAAGCAGAGTGACTGGCTCAGTAAATAATAAAAGTAATACCTAAAAATTTGGGTGTATATTGCTGAAAGCTGGGTGACACCATCATTGGCCTCCAGGGGGGAATTAGGAGCTGCAGGAGAGGAGGGGTGGAGTTTGAGATAGATGGGCTGTCAGATATGACTAGCCATGCAGTCACATAAACACCCGGTCTCTCTGTTCACTGAAAACAGAAAGATGAGCATGGGATTTCTTTCCAGTTGCCACAAGGGGACTGAATGCTACACCATGTGACTCAACAGGAGCATTTGTTCTCTGCTTCCAGTGCAGTTCCCCGTTTCCTTGATGTATGACTACACTATTAAAGTGACACTGAGAAGCTAATGGCGCATGTGTTCAGAGTTTTCACCACAGAACAGATGCTGATAGCGTAGCCAGAAATAAGACAGCACAAAGAAACAAATGTGCGTCGCATGCTCTATCATACTTAGAATTAATAGACTAGCAGTGTGGATTATCAGAGGCAGAGCAGTCAAAGCAGCAAAAAAGATCAGACCATGGAAGAATATTCACAAGGAGGGAAAAATCATATGTCACCTTTGGCTTTGGAGTGTCCACTCCTATCACCACAGAAACACACACACCGCCTCTACATCTGCTGCTAGACTCCTAGACACAAAGAACTGCTGATGATCTGATCAGCATCAATGCAAGAGTGAAAAATGCAAAAAGAGAAAGAATCAGGGTTGTTGGAAACCTGTGGACTACAAGGAGGATAAAGAATGAAGAAAAATGATGGTGTTTGTGCAGAAAAATGTATGGTGTCACTGCACCCTCATGTTTGTTAGTATGATGCTTAGCTGAGGCAAGCAGACCCAGGAAAGCTTTGCCTCATCACTGACACCACAGTTTTAGAGCAGGAATAAAGCACAGCAGGCTCAGGTTACATAACACCACATCCTTCTTTCTTTCTCTCATTCTCACTTACAAAATAAGACAGCATACTACATATGTGTATACGCTGCAATGATGGCAATAAGCTGCGTAGTCATGCGTAACAATACAGAAGGAGTCCTGTGTAACCTGTGTTACAGGGTACTTATGGTTCAGTGTGTTCTGAAATTGAGCAGGGATTTCTGAGTAGGGGGCGTAGGTCCTGTCACAGAACACAAGAGCCATGGAATTTTCAAGGCCCCCTCTTAAAATACTGTAACGCTCATTTTGGTCAGTGGCTTTTGTCTCCACCTGGAGTGTAGCCATCCCCCTGATGTTTTTCTAAATAGTGGCATCAGTTGAACCTATTCCAGTTTCTATGTTGAAGGAGCAACAACACAGAGTTTAGTTTTTAGTAAAGTATAAAGAAGTATAAAGAATGGATTACTTTAATGTAAGCTGAAAACATCAGCCTGTCTGTCCGACTACTGTTTCCCAAGGCAGGGGCATGTCATTAACAACATTATTATTTGAGCGTACACTCAGCCCAGAAAAAGGATGCCATGTCACTGATCCAGCATCAGTACCAAGTAAATAAGGAGAGAAAGCTGCTCTTTGTTGTCTGTTATTGAACAGAATAATATTGAACAAAGCACGCACAGTTACAGTATTGTTGAATAATACCTTCTGCATTTTTAATCACAATGGATCCTTGGTTCTGTCGGCCACATTGTGCACAATCAAAGCTGAGCTAAAGTCAGCTATGACCCACAGCTCTGCCGGAGCTGGTCACAGTGCAACAAAAACACATCTCAGGCTTCAAGTGAAGTAAAAGGCAGACAGAATAAATATTCTCAAACCTTGGTGCTCGTGTTAGTGCACCTTAAGAGTGACAACCATCAATTATGCTATGGTAAATCATTAGAAGGTAATCTGGTCTAGGTGCAGGTTCAGCCCTGAAGCCTTCAGTTCTTCAAAGACTAAACCTTCATAGGCTGCACATATCTTTGAAATGATGTGCTCCCTGAACTGAGACTCACTAACTACCATAATTCTTGGATCCTGTTATACAGTGGTAAGGCTAACCACCCTGCTACTCAGGTAAATCATCAGCAAAAAAGAGCCTGAGATGTAAATCACTGCCCCAACTGTATTTTGCACACAGTGGTCATACTGAATTATTAATTCTGGCTCTCTTTTCAAATAATATTGTTTTTACTGTCAGTATTTGTAACAAAGCCATGTTGTGTTTTAGTGCAGTGTCAGCAGTCAGGAACAGATACTACAGAACGTCTGGTACATTCAATTCAATTTTATTTATATAACACTTTAAACAACGCAGTCTGAAGTGGCTCACAGCACACGGAGCAAAGCAAACAGCAAGAATCACAAATTTGCCTCAAGGGCCTTTACAATCTGTACAGCACACAACACTTAGACCCTCAAACCAGATAAGGAAAAGTCCACCAAAAAAAACCTGTAACTGGGGAAAAAAATGGAAGATAGTTCAGAAAGTGCAACAAAAGAGGGATCCCTCCTCCAGGACAGACAGTCATCGCATGTACAGAGTGAATCTGTAAAAAGATTTATAGTAGAGACCATCAGATTGACAAAAGTTGTCTACTGGTAATACTAGCACTATTTTGGTGTGGAACCAGCAGATTTGAGGCCGTGCACTTCTCCTGTATTTCCTTTGCTCTATCATAAGCCAACATTTCTCAAACACAGCAACAGTCGGCCATCATTGCTGCCCGTTGCTGAACCAGTAAATCCTTTCCACGTGACCTGTATTTTCTAGCCTAAGGATGGAATGGGCTGCCTCAGGTAACAACAGCACTATTTGATCAGACGCTGTGTACTGAGCCTTGCACAATTTTGTCTCGAACATCAATGCCACCGTTTTGATGACAGTCACTGTTCATACAGAACTTGATGTTATTCGTTCTGCAGCTATTGCTTTGCCTACAATGTTTTTTCCTCTGAAAAACTTAAGCTTAAGTACAGTATATAAGTGCGAAGAGCAAGTTAACACTGGACTCAAGACTGAAAGTGGAAAAATACTTCACTTGATGAGCCAAACAGTTACATAAGGATCATTAGCAGTTAATGACCCCTGTTAGATGCAAAGGATTCCCCTGTGGAGACTATTAACATCCTCTGGGCCTCACACAGAACATAGTAATAATGTAACCTTAGCCAATTTGCATGGAGACCTCCTCCACGTCTTCCGCAGCAGGGTGGTAGAAGGCTCAGAGGTTATCTGGTTGAGTCAGCCTTTTAGATGCATGTTTTTCTCCCACACAGGGACAGACGGAGATATGCTGCTGAGCCCATGCGTGGGTTTGACATGTCCGCTGGCTATCTCCACTTGAGTAGTGGAATGTGATTTTTAAACAAAGAAACAAAGAAGGCGAGAGAGACATACACGTAAAGAAAGAGAAAGAGATCCCCTCAAGTCCAGCAAGCAAAACTGAAATTTACATAAGCTGTGTAGTTTCATCATCAGAAGCCTCGTCATCACTGTAACAGCTTAGGGTAAACTTGTCTCAAGCTTCACACTACTGAATGACTGTCTACACTGGCAGGTTTTGGCAGGGCGAGGTCACTAGTCTCCATAAACAGCGTGCTCCTTTAATACTGTTGATTGATTAATGTTGCCCGGCCTTGATTTCGATCCCTAATACTTTGCGAGATAATGTTCACAAGCAAGTCGCACTGTTCTCCTTACTGTGTGTGCCATCTTGCTGGCCGGACAGTGGACTTACGCAGCGGTGTGTCTACATTTCTTGGGGTGTGGGCTAATGATGGCAGAGGTGGATCAGTTCCATCCAGGTTTTTATCTTTATAGTAATTTGCCACTCTTTTAATTTGTAGTACTGAATGGAAATCTAGTGTGTACAGTGCAGAATAAATAA